ACATCCATACTCCTGGCTGCTCTGCTGACGACTGTGCTGCAAATACTGCAACAACCAGCCTAAATACATGTGTGACTTACTAATCATACTAATCAATAATCAGTAACTATTAAATTTTAACTAACACATGTTGAGAGCGGGATTTCTTGATATTATTGTGACTTATCTATTCAAGCCTAAGGGAAATTGTATTATTGCTATTGCTTAACTTCTGCTTTACGCTATCCCTTCATGTGTAGAACTACGTTATTTTACAATCACAGTGATTACAATAATGTTTTATGTGGTGATCTGGATTATACTCATACTGGGGTTTTAAAATTAAGTACTGCCAATAATGATACATGTGCTCAATCATTTTTAAAAGCTAAGGTGAATGAAAAAGAGAGATTTTAAATTGATCGCCTTATCTATTATCATGACTTAAGCTGCACTGCTATTCCTAAAATTAATAAAGGCATACTAATTAATATGTGCTGTTTGTGTTTCTGTCTCTTGGAGCAATTTGTAAGAAATTCAATATATGATATGTCCTGATTTTAATGGATGTTACTTAACACCATCAAACCCAACACCATGCTTAAACAGGCTGCAAAGAGCTGATCAAAAGGCAGCACATTGTCACTTAAAGCTATGGTCTACGTTTAGAAAGATTGATCATTATTATTAACATCATTTAGATGGTGGTTATGGCCCAGTAGTGCTAGGTACACAATGTGAAGAGCAAGAGGAACCAAAAAAATCCATTCTCTCTGGCGGCTGCAGGCCTGCAAAGAAATTGACCAATCACAGCCATCCGGTCCGCATGGGAGTTACTTCTTGCTCAAATTTGCACTCTCTCTCTCTTACCCTCTGTCCAATCCCCTCGCTCCATTTTGACACTCCTCTGCTCCTCGTCCTGCCTCGTCCCAACCCCCCTCCGCATTTTAATGTGCAAGCGGTTTGTAAGGCCCTGAGCGATTGAGCTACACCTATGGAAAATAAAGAGAGCGACAGCAGCAAGCGGCCTCTGCTTGCCCCACTGGCAAAGGCCGAAAGGAAGCGTAAGTCTGCCTCTGAAAAGGCAGAAACGAAGAGGAAATGAGACAAATTGATGGCTCAAAACAGACTAAATATTGGGTCATCCTTTGACTGATGGAGAAAGCTCCAGCAAGATCTGGGCCTGAAAAGTGATGTTGATACAGCAGAGTTTTTGTTGAACAGGTAATATTTCGTGTGGATGTTGTGACATAGATAACTGTATGCCAGTGCTGGCTTATGACTGTGAAAGCTGCCGTTAGTTTTTTGTGTGGGTAGACGGCGTCGAAACATTTTGTTGCTATGCAGGAGGGGGTGTGTCGTTAGGAGGCTCCAAGGGGAGGGGGACACGAGCTTGGAGGGGAGGGATAATGGAGCACAGAGGGAAGGGTGTGTGTGTGTGGTGGGGAATACTTTTTTCAAATCTTTCTCATCGGCTTTCTAAACGTAGACCATAGCTTTAAGTTAGTTTTTTTAGTCTTGACTCTTATGTAGAAACTGACTACACATCTCCAAAGCCACAATTTGTGTGTATGCCATATGAAGCCTATTTCATCAGGAAACATACCTCAAGATATCTACAAGGCATTTACATAGTATAAAACAAATGCTGATATAACTGTTTGGCTAATGTCTTTATTTTGTAAGTACAAAGTGATTAAAATAAAAGTCTATTCAAGCCTAAATGAGAAAATGCATTAACACACTTAAAATACAGAAGAATCCCAACAGTGACTTAACAAGACAGAAAGCCTACAGCCATGCTAGCAGCTTTTTGTGGCTGTACTTGGACACAATGGTGCTTTGAGCTAAATGCTAATGTCAGCATGCTAACCATGGATGTATGCATAGAACTAGATACAGCACTGAAGGTAGGAGCCCTTTTATTTCTATTAAAGTTGTTAGGTGGTGCACAAAACCATAAAAGTTTGATTTCTATAGTACGAAATTGCCCGGATCTTCCCTATTGTGCAGCCAACAGAGCAAGCACAATTGAGACTTATAGTGGACCGAGCAGCTAACTTCCAGTTTAGCCCTCCATTATCTTGAAGGGGGATAAAATGATTTACTGCTAATTGTACATCTTTTCTAGACTTTTAAAATGATATCGGACTGAAGAGATCAAATCCTAACAGTGAAACATATTATTTTACAGGGGTTGAGACCCTTAAAAAAATGAATCAGCTTATTTACAGATGTCTCTTTCACAATGTGAGTCTAATGGAAAAACACTTTTTGGGCCCCATGACATCACGTCATGGTCCTAGATGTTGTAATTTCACATTTGGCCGCTTTGTTAATTTGGCTAAATTGGGAAAACCCAGCACTGTTCCTGGGGGCTTGATGCTAACACATTCATTATGTTAGTGTTAGCATGCTATTTAGCAGGTATAGAGTGCCCCAGGAATGAGTCCTAAAACCCGGAAATGAGTTAGCATTTTAACGCTTCTGCTTCTTATATCTGAAAGTGAATGGCCTGAAATAAGGTCTGTGGTTAACACAAGCTTAAAAGGCTTTCACATTTTGTTGTACAACATAAAATATGTCAGTAAATACCCCACTCATGAATTTTGAGGCTTTTTTGTGTCTTAAAAAAAGTGGTTGTAAACAAGTGGCTAATTGAGACCACAGACGGTCATCATGCCTAATATAGCTTTACAGCCATGCTGTGGGGACAATGTTAAGTCATGCGACTGTTTGTTTAAAGCATAATGTTAGCTTTATACTTCTGGCATTTACACTTCAAAAATCATAAAAGTTGTTTTCATTTGTGAAGATTATCTTGCTGAACAAAACATGTTAGTATCATTAACATTTGTTTTCCACATTATCCTGCAATAATCCAGAAGTCCAGTGGAAAAATCCCATTGGCTTTTTGACTGGGGCACCAAGGCGACGCTAACGTCTACAGTGGCATACAGGAAACATCATCCTGGAGCACTCTGTACCATTTACCATGATCACCATCTTAGTTTAGCACATTAGCATGCTAACATTTACCAATTAGCACTAATTTAATATATGAAAAGTGATTTACTGTTTTGGACAAATTAATTTTTCTTACCTAATGATGGCACTTGATCAAAAGTTTAGAGATCACCACAGTGATTACAATTCATCCTTGGAGGGTAATGAATGTGTGAATAGACTTTATGATTTTACGGCAACAAGTCAGGGGATCACTACAGTCAGTAAACTACATCCTCTGAGCACCATGACTATGTGTACCAAATTTCATGGCAATCCATCCAATAGTTACTGTGATATTTAATGGAGGACTGACCAATGCTAGCATGGCAAGAAAAATAAAACATCTATCTTACAGTAAAACAGAACATGCAGTAATTCAATCCAAAACAAATAAATGATGTACAAAGACAACAATATGTAGAATTCATATGTATCATAGTATAATTTCACATTACTATTTGTATTTATTAATACGTTTACTAGGGGTGTAACACTGCACAAATTGTTGATGTGAAACAATTTTTGTTTTCATGATCTAATTTTGATTTTATATGGCGGTGCTCCATATCTGCTTTAACAAAAAAAAAAAAAAAAAAAGAGTAGTCTCACAGAACGCAAATATTTTGCAGGGAGAAAAGAAAAATTGTTTTTTACTATTTTTTGGAACAAGGTCAATGTTTCCGAGCTTTTGCAAAAGCATCAACCAATCACACTGCGTCTACTTATTAGGATTAAAAACAACAACAGAGAGGCTCTATAGCGGAAACCGAGACAGCAAGTTTCATCACTTCTTTCAACCGCCCCCCCCCCCCCCCCCCCCCCCCCCCCCCCCCCCCCCCCCCCCCCCCCCCCCCCCCCGATGCCGCCTCGGTTGAAAACGCTGTGCTAAAGTGCCCTCTTGAGTGGCGAAAATGAGAGGATGTGCCCTTTCAGCTGCCCTCTTGAATGATGAAAACGAGCTGATGTGCCCTTTTGGCTGCCCTCTTGAGTGTTACTTTTAGCCTGGATTGTCTATATAATCTTAATTAAGAATCAAGGACGAAGACTATTTCGCCATACATGACACACTAGCTTCTTGCGCACCAATGGGGCCCCATGTCATGCAGTAGGTGCTCTTTTTTCCTTTTTGCCCCTGCCCCTCCAACATCCTGAGTTCGTCACTGTAAACAAGTATTGCAACTATTGCTAATTCACATCACTGCCGGTATGAATAGTTTGTATAGAAAATATTCTCACTAAAGTATTTTGCATTTTTGTGTCATTTAAATGCGCAATATGTCATTTTCTGCCGCTAATAACAGATGGACAGTTGGATGACGTCACGAAGTAGCGTGGGATCATGGGAGTTGTAGTCATATAACAGATACAGATCTGACGTTCCTCACTCCCCGAAACCGACCGTGGCAGCTTTTTTGGCAGAGCGAGCTTCAGCAGCAGAGAAATGCTCATGGACGAGGTATATTACTGAAGTTATATTCACTTTATGTTTCACTTTATGCAAATGGGTGTAGCACCACACCAATATTAATCCTTGATTTAGCTCTCTTCTTATCCCAAATTCTTCTGGGATCGCTTGGTTGACCCGTACGTTTCCGTTTTACCGGCTTGTTTACCGGGACAGCTTCGGTGTCAGAAGGTGCAGCAACCGTCAATGCATAATCATGATCCATGACGAATTAGCTTAGCCTAGCAACAGTAACGTTCATTCTCTGACGTCTCATCCGGTCTGCTTATTCTTCTTCTCCTTCATTTAATGGCTATGGTAACTGGGGTTACGTCACCATTGACATGTGACCTAATGACACAGTCCGTAACTTTTATTAATATTTCATATTTATCTGGGTTTGAAAAATTGTTGGAAACATTTCTGATAATCAAAGTACACAACTAAACAAAATATATAATATTGGTTTAGTCGTTTTTAGACATTTTTTTGTGGAAAATCTACATATTATACCTTTAATTGCCACACCCCAAGTAAAGGTCTTAAGAATGACAGAACACACATGAAATACAGAACCAAACTGTTGTATTTTGTTGTATTCCATGCTATGCACAATTTGGCCACTGTACTGTCTGTAACAGGTAAGCACAGTTAACATTGTCATTGTGATTTTAAGAAAAAAAACAAGGTAGCCTGCATCTGCTTCACAGTGCATGTTACTCCCAGTTACTGGGAAGTGACAGTTTTTGTTAGACCCCTTTCAGTAGCAAAGTTCAAAGTAAATGCCCCGTTGTTTCATACCATATAATACCTCATCTCCACAAGAACACACATTTATTTTCTTTTACATATTCTGCTGCTGTAATTCCAAATGAATCCTGCAGTTCATCCTCTCTGCCAGGCTAAGTGTACATCGTAAGGTACATCCACTGCAAATTAAGGAGGGAGATATTATTATTGCACTTCAGTGTATGTGTAGCTCTGGTTAAAAAGCATGATTATTTTATCACAGAAATCTAAAGCTATTGTACAAAATTGTCATATTTTATAGAAAAACACTCATTTTATGAAATGTAGCCATAACACCTCTGAAAAATGTTTATTACCTCTGGTTCACGAAGGCTTATGTTCATTCCATCGGACAACTGCCTGTAGATTGCTATTGAGAAAGGCAGAAATTCTTATTACCTCAGAAACTGTGAGGGCAAAGAGTGGGAGTCAGAGATGCCAAGAAGTTCATAATTTCATCCTCTTTGTTTTTACCAGAAGCTGCATTCTGGTACTGCCTCATAATGTATGTAAAACAATGGTGAGGTGCCACTGAAATGCACTGGTCATTCTTTAGCAACTGTTGCCTCCTCAGTGGTACACTCATACAGTGTAGTCCTCTCATGCTAACCCAGTATTGAAAATCCCAAATTAGACTTCACATGTTAAAACATTACCTCAGCAAAGAGTCTACAGAGATTCTAGCAGCTTTCCCAGCAAACATTGAGACGTTGTATTATCATTGTATGGATGTCCAGTCAAGACATCACCTTTCTGGTTTAAAAATAGCTGAAAAATGGAAGCTGTGCCGACGTCCGAAACGTTACCTGGCCATCAGCTGTACCTCCTTAGTGAGCGTCCTAACAATGTCGAAATCAGATTAATGTGACCAAATAATAAAACTAATGACACCACCTTAAAGAAAACATCCTATATAGCCAATTCCAATGCCTAAGAAGTATTTACTGATTTGCAGAGGCCACTCCCAGTGGGTTTTCAGACAGAGCTTGCAAACCCAGGGTAATTTTGAGCGTGATACACAGACATAAGCCTGCAAGTCAGTCTCTCAATTTCTGTCACCAATGTATTGTGACAAGTAACTGAGCTATTATTGAGAGTAGCAATTTGTTGAGTACAGTAAAGCCTATGTTAAACATTTACTTGGATATATGTCTTCCATCTTTTTTTTTTCTCTGTAAACTCATCCCATGTTATTTTGTTTTTTTATTTTTTGTTTTAATTATTTTGTTACACCTGAAATGTTAAAATTTTGAGTAGTATGGTTGCCTCTCATTGGTTGCTTCTACTGTACAGGTGATGTCCCACCCTTGTATGTTTTTTTTAAGCCTTGACTAAGACCTACAGAGGTTCAAATATTATTTCTCTTTTACCCTTTAACATTCTGCTTTTTGTAGAGCACATTTTGAGTCCCTATATCTTTAGGTTTAGGTATATTATGCAAAAAAAGAAAAAAAAATCCATTAGATGTCACTGTGTCTTTCCTTTGCACTTTGCTTCCTCCAGGCAGTTGGTAATGAAAAAAGTCACTCCAGACGTGAGGGCTCTGTGTGGTGGGATTTTCAAAGGTGCTTACTTACTGCTCCTTACTGAACAGATTTATGTAACTTTACATAAAAAAATCAAATGACCTTTTCAAAACATGCTAAACCAAATGGTTCATTTTTCCTTTTATGGTAAAGGTAGCAAAGCTGAGCTAATGTAATTAAAATGGAATATTTGCTGAAAAATAGAAACACTTCTGATTATTCCTTGTTGGCAAATGATACATTAAATGTTATCCATACATACACACACACACACACACACACACACACACACACACACACACACAATGGTAATGGTAAACACTTGGAATAAATACATGGGAATAGTACTAGTACTGGTGATACAACAAATTCTGTAGTAAAAAAATGATTTATGTTTGTATACTAACATATTACTTGCATTATAAAAAATATATGGTTTGTAATTTCGATTTTTTTTTCTGTTTTACAAATATCATGAAGTGACATCTCAACCATTTGGTAGAGGCCCATATTTTAAAAACTATGGGGTCTGTTAGAAAAAACAACAACATTTGTTATTACTGTTATTATAAAGGAAACAAAAAATACAAAAAAAAATGTTAGTGTGGACATTAAAAGGGTTAAGGATTTAACCACTATAACAAAGGCTCTGTTGAATTTCCTCTGTCATTGATGTATTTTTGGAGTGCCTTAAAAATTCACTGCAAATTTGAAATGAGTAAAAAATTTGAGCAAAAATTTTGCTCAGAAAAGTTACTCAAAGACAATAACAAAATCTAAAGAAAAGTATTTAGGCTATACGTACGATAAGTATTTTCTACTGTCACCAGCTGCCCAAATTTACTTACCACTCATGCAGTCGAAGCGAAGGATGAGACTGATAAAGCTCTCCAGCGACATGTGTCCTGAGGAGGCACCGTAGCGCAGAGCCATCAAGTTCAGCATGTTATCACTGATCCTCTTTCCTAACCAGCATTAAAGGGACAAAAGTTTAGGTATGACTTATGTTAGGGCTGCAACTAACTATTGTTTTTATTAACGATTGATCTGCAAATTATGTTTCATTTCATTAAGCCATGACACTGTCACTCTGTCATGGCCGACTAAGACATGTGAACAGAACAGACCTGTAATGCATGATACTAGTAACAGTGGTCTGCTGTGAAAAAGGTGTCCTGTGCATGAAATTCCAAATATGTGGATGTATCAAAATGCAAGGTGACTGGAATATGTTTGAGTTATTATATGTTTATCATCAATGTCAATCAAACACAAAAGCAGGCGATTAACATAACATGTCTGAAGTACAGCTCAGTATTTGTATTACTGACTGACAAGCATGCTGTCAGCCAACTATTATGGCTCCTTTCTAGTCACACTTCATGTGATATTCGCCCATCTTCACACACATTCATACACTGATGCCAAAGGCTGCCATGCAAGGTGCCAAACTGCTCATCAGGCTCTAATCTCATCAAAGCATTCACATGCACTTTCACACACCGATTAAAAGATTAAGATTAAAGTTTCACTGATTGTCACACACCTAAGTCTGTGAAATTTGTTCTCCGCATTTGACCCATCCCCTGAGGGAGCGGTGAGCAGCAGCGGTGCTGCGCTCGGGAATCATGTGGTGATCACCGATGGCAGATAGCAAGAAGATATCCTGGGTAAGTTGAACTGGCTTCGTTTTACAGGCCTCAGCTGTGTCTTGGTCTTGTGATTAGTTGTCTGTGTATATATACCTGTGTGATTCCCTTTCCCATTTCCTGCCTGGTGTCTTGTGTTCTGTTTTGGATTTCTACGCTGAGTTCATCCCTGTGTTCATCATGTTTTTCCTGGTTTTCAGTTTGACTTTCAGTTACCTGCCTGTTTTGGATTTTTCTGTTTGTTTGTTTTTGTTGTGTTTTTTTAAATCAGCTTTCTTAAAGCTCTCTTCTGTTCTAAATCCACTGTCCACTGCTTTGCATTTGGGTCCTTTCCTGAAATGATGCATGACAATCAAACAAAAGCCAAAAACTGTGTTGTATCAAGAATCCGCGAGCTGTAAATTCACTACTTCCATGCGAAAGAGAGAAGACAAAGTTATATCGGAGCTTTACAGTGAAAAGTCTCTCCTCCTCTGTGCTGCTGCATCCTGTTCGCAGCTGTCTGTTCAAAGACTAGTGTTATACACTGCACAGCACTCTGACTAGCAAAAAAACAAAACAAAATAAAACAAAAAAAAAAAACAAAAACATGACAGCTCAATTAAAGCTATCTCAGTCGACTGAGGGGTCTCCGACTGACAGTTCTAATCTGGCAGCTCAGCTGTACACATTATATATCAGGCACCTGATTTCATTGCATTGTTTGCATCAAAAACTGTTTTGAATGCAAACGATTAGAAATGGTTGGAAAGATTTTGCAATTTCTGTCCCAGGCATAAGATTTAAAGTAAAGAGGATAAATCCCAGGAGGGTTCTGTCTATAGTAGACAAGGAGAAGTGGATGATGGTCTACCTGCAGCAATGCTAGCATTCCTCAGCTCACTCAGTGACAGTGTTCCTGTTTGTGAAACATCAATGCGGAAGAAAATGTCCTGGAAAAAGAGAAGATGGTAAGATATGTAAAGCTGGACAACTCAAGAAAACACAAAAACTACACACAACCTCTAAATAGACGCATTGATACGGGAATGAACAGAGTTATACAGTCATGTCTATAATTATGAATGTCATCAGTAATCTTTGTGTTATTCTGAGAATTTTAACCTTCACGTGCTTCCTTTTACCTTGTATGTGACGATCTTGTTCCACAGACGAACAAATTCGTCAACGTTCAGTTTGCCGGAGGGCCTACTTGATGTCTAACCCAACATTAAGAAATCAGAGCTGTGCATGTCGTTTCACATCTTAGCCTGACCTTCAAATTTGATTGTGTGTGTGAAACCAGCAAAAGGGCAGGCAGGTTTTGGCGTGTACACTACTCAAGCGTCTTATATAACTACCTTTATTGTGAGAGAATACCCGTTAAGCAAACTGGCAGCCGAGATGGAGAAAAAAAAAAAAAACTTGTTTTTCCAGTATACCAATTCATAATTGATATCAGATAAGAGGATACATCCATCAGAGCAACCATGCTGCGACAGGCGTCAGTGCTGAAGCCTCTGGATTGCAAGTCTCCTGTAGAAATATAGAAAAAAATGCACTTACTTTGGCTAAAACCCAACAACACAGCAGTGCTATGTAAGATTATTATATATGAATATTCTTTTAGCTCATATGCTGTCAAGCATCAAGTCATTTTGGAGTTTACATTTCAAACCTTTCAGGAAGTTTTCATTTAGAAGCTTCTGGAGCTGCTCAGCATTCACTTCTTCATCCTAGTGATGAAATCAAAACAAGGAAAGACTTGTAGTCTCACATTATCTGTTGCTTTTATATTGAGGGGAAATAATACCATGCTACACCTTATGGGTTAGATGTAAATCACACAGGTGTAGTTAAAACAATATAAAACATCTTTCTGTTTACAACATTTAAAATTCCTGATCCAACGGAGCAATAACCCCAAAGAATAAGACAACACCAAAAGGAATAATGACAAACCTCAAATAGAAAATAGGAGTACAGACATGAAAGCCCAGTTCTGTTTTAATCGAAGGAAAAGACTGAATCACAATATTTACTAACAATAACTTACGGGTACATAACCCCTGTGTCACGTACATAGAGTCAAAAGGTGCTGAGCAAACGCTGGCTAAATTGGTACATTCTTAGCCACCTAAAAAAACAGGCTCATCTAAAAAAAAGTGCACACTATTTTAAGAATATTTTCCCCACTTTACCATGCTGTCAGCTAGCGATGGGGAGCTAAACAAACACTGCAAACACTGATGTCTCTCATTCTGGTCTTGTCGATGGTGTGGCTCAAAGAGGACAAGTGTGATGATTTGTGAATGGACTGAAGAAGCAAGACACCTAGGGTTCTGCGACCCTTGACCTTAGACTCCTCCTTCCTCTCCTGCCAAGCAGACACTAATAGAGAGTGGAGGACCTCATGAATATATTTTCCCTGTTTGGTTTTAATATATTTAAACAAAAAAATAAGCTTTTAACCTTTCATGTGCTGTTGTCTCCTGCCTTTGCTGAGACTGGTTGTCAAATCAGAACCTGTAGGTCCACTGCAACGCACTGCTGTGGAGGTGTTATAGTTCTCTTTTGCAGCACATATTGCAGTAATTCCAGTGTGTTTGTTGACAGACTATAGGCTTGAATTTATTTTTATTTGCTTGTTTTCTGAGCCCTGCAGCTGGCAAGATTGTAGGCGTAGGTTTCTGGGGGAATGTAGGCACAGGCCCTCTCAGTATTTAGAGCATGTGCATATGGTCCCCCAGTAAAAACATAAAAGTAGCAAAGGACTTTGACAAAATTAAAGCCATTTACACCAACAACTGCTGCAGAGAATGCACAAATTAGGGCATAAATATTCACCAGAAATGAAATGCTTAAAATTTTCTAATCCCCAGATCCTTTGTTTTTTATGTGTTTTTTAAATTGTGATTTTATTCATTTTTTTTTGCTAACAGTTTCGACACAGACACCCACAGTGGGCCACAGGCCTAATTACCATTATTTTACCTTGTTCAGTGATAGATATTGAATTGAGAGACATTTATTTAAAGACAATCACTGAGATTATTACTAAGAGACACACAAATTACCTTGTCACAGTATTGGCGGAACAACATCCTCTTATCTTCGATATCCTCTCCATTTTCAATATGCATGGGCTGCAAAAGATTGAGTGCTTTCAGCTCACTCATTTCAGCTGTTAAATATGTGTGTCATATGCTATCGGTGTAATCAACAAAATAAACAACATGCAACGCAACAGCAAAATAATATAAACATTGCCAATATATTTTAAAATCTTGCGTACCTCTTCAGCTTCCTCATTTTCATGGTCATGGGCACCAGAATTCTCACTGAAAGGAAAGACAAGAGACATCAGTACATAATGTGTTGCCAGTGATGTGCATGACACGTTACTGAGTAACTCGTTACAGTAATGTGATCACTTTTTTCAGTAACAAGTAGTGTAAGGGAGTACAATGTGAAATTAAGCAATGACATTACAGCTACTACTCACAGTAACGCTCTGTTACTTTGACATTTTCAGAATCAGCTTTTTTGCAGTCTTAATGAGTTAACTAGTCCATACCCATTGAATGCACAGTTGCCCACGTACAGTTTCACATGGTGTGTGTTTGGGATACAGGTCATAGGAAACTGCAGATTAAATAGTCAACTGAACCCATTAAGAAGAGCAATGTATTCAGACAGAGTTTTTGTGATTTTGATAGTACGATTGCTTTATTGAAAGTACAGTAGTACCATTGCCAATAGTGGGATAGTTAGTGGGCTAAAACTGTACATTTGTAGTTGAGGTAGCACGTTGAAAGGCAGATAGTTAAAGTGTTTATATGTTGTATTGACTTAAAAGTGGGGCGTACTGGTAGTTCACATGGGAAAGGTGCGGCTAGCCCTTGTTGCAGCAGCATACCATACCATGACTTAGTCATACCAAAAAGGGGCCTAGATAAGAAATTAGCTCTCTAGCGCCCCCATTTTGTTTGATGGGGTCAATAATGGAGGGGTCCCCTCAGATTATGTGTGGTCATATGCCTACAAAGTTGCGTGGTGATCAGTGAAACCCTTGAGATGTTATACACCTTTATGTGATGAGCCACGCCCTCCGCAATATTCATTGCCTTATAGAAGCTCAGTTTTAGTAAGTTTTCCAACTTTTGCCAAGAGGGAACTTTAGATATTGGTCCCTAGATTATGTTCA